TGCACGGTGGTGTGCGCAACAGACGTATGGGAGCAGGGCCTCCCGCAGCCACGTTACGTGGTAGAAGGGCACAGTGCATCAGAGCAGGGGTTAGGGATAAACAAGGAGTCTCCTGCTGTCCTGAAGGGAGGTTGGAGTGTGAGTAAGCCAAGAAAAATGGTTACACGGAAGCCCTCAACACCTCCTCAACTGCCCAGATCTCCTGAACCCACTTGCTTTTTCCTTCCTTTTTTGTAAAGACAAAAAGCAAGGGGACCAATGACTTTTTTTAAAACAGTCATTGGTTAGAAAGTACAAGCAGGTCTCCCCTGGGCTGCAAGGAGGCTCCAGCTGTTCGGTCATGGCTGGGTTGTCCCTGAGGTCTGTCAGGTAGAAGTGGGCTGGGATGAGAGCAGTGCTCCACAGCCATCCTCCAACTGCACTGAAAACAGTAACTACCTTGTGCTGGTGTGGAGAGTCCATTACTTGTGCTGCTGCTTAATTTAAGAATTACGAGTATCTTCTAGGTGGCTAAATGTTCCTGCTCTGGCTCTGTGTATCCAAGCAAGGATGCAGCCCAGTACCAAGGCCGCTGGTTTTATGTGCATGCCATCTAGTGAACAAATGGATGAAGCACAAACCTCCCTCAGGCAAGCATGGAAACAGGTCTCAGCAACACATGGCTGATGGAGAACGGCCTTTTCCCCCCTCTCCGCTCCCCTGCCCACCTGGGAAACAGCCACCAAACCCACTCTGGACAAAGCAGCCGGTGCAACAGGGTATGAGCAAAAAATTTTAGTGTAGGAAGGTGTGGATGACTTTAGATTCGAGCCTACAGCTCATCTCCAGCTGTCCCACAGCAAAGGAGATAGAACCAATGCGATGTTAGTGGAGAATAGGTTAGGGGTGCAGAGAAAGTAATAAAACAGGTTAGGGGTGCAGAGAAGGTAATGAAGGGAGCTGAGAAAGGTACTGCCTTACCTGTAACTTTTCAGGGCAAACATCTCTATTTTTATAAATTAACTAAGGTTTTTCCTTTTGCTCTGTTTTCAGTGTTGGATGAGGGCAGCATGGCAGGTAGCAGTTATTTCTGGAACATGTAATACCTCCCACATATTTATAAATATAGCATCTTCACGGTTAAAGCTCCCCTCAGGCAATGGCAAGGACATGCAGATTAAATTAACTACTCCCATGAATCTTCCACTTACATTAGGATACACTGAGTGAGGCTGTTTCTGACCAGTGCACCCCAAGAGACTGTGCAATCCTGGTACAAGGAATCACAGGAGGTTGCTCGGTATGTGGCAACAGCTACTTCCTTGCTCATGGAGCAAGGAGACGAGTGGTTTCACACTTTTCTTTTGTCCTTCCCTCACTGCAGTGCTGCCTGTGTAAATCAACATGCACTCACCTGCTTTTCTGGATGGTGAGAGGTGTCCTGCTCTGCCTGGCACCTTGGCACCCCACACCCCAGCACAGCTGGCTCTGCCTCCCTCCCATTGCACCACCTTGTGTCCAGCTTATCACATGTGACACTGTCCAACAGCCACAGTGTTGCAAGGCCATTTCTAGCACTTGAATTCAAGGTGGAAGGTGGCAGACTGTGGAACAACCTTCTGAAAATGATGGCAGGACCACACCAACTCCACCCAAAGGGTCCTGGACCAGCATGTGCCCTGTCTGGTGCAAGACCTCTGCATAAAACATCCATAAAATACCCTCAAGCAGAAAGTGAAGAATACACAGGCTCTGCAGTCAGCTAAAGGCGCTGGGAGCTTTTCTGAGCAGGCTGGGGGTGAGCAGCTGGGAAGCTACAGAGACATCCCCGTAGCACTGACACAGGGAAAGACACAGTTTGGGTGTTGGTGCCATAATCTGTCCCCAGAATCCAAGCTGCCCCTCAGCAAAAGCAGCATGGTCTGGAGGGGAGGAGATGGGGACAGCCCTAGGACCTCCTTATCCTGGCAAAACACGAGGGACGTATCTCTGTCTTCCGTTAAAGCCTGGAAGCTAAGCAGAAAGGAAAAAATCTTAAACATAGAGAAGTGTTTTTGCTCTTCAGACAACCCACGGCTGCACGGGTGGAGGTTCAGGCCTGCCCAGGCTGCAGTGCTCCCTCTCCACCAAGCAGCGTCACCCGTGCTCTAGTTTTACCACTCAGCAAAGCCACTCTGGGAACTATCACTCCAAAAGCTCCTCCAAAGTTTCCCTGTTGTGGCAGAAATGTTATTGCTGCAGAACTGCAGCTGATGGCAGAGGTGGTGCAGCCCGGCCAGGTTCAGGCCCCGGAACAGGCTCTGGAGGGATCTGTAAGTTGGGCTTGAGAAGCAAAACCTCACCAGGGATCATGCAGGAAGTCAGACACATGCCTGTGTTCCTCAGTCTGTTACTTTATTAGAATGCGCTTTACATCATAGTGGTGGCCCCACCAAAGACACTTTACAAAATATTAAAAAAAAACTTTTATTCAAAGCCATATTAAAAAAGAAAATAATCTGTTTCCTCCCCCCCGCCCCCCCAAAAATAATTTTGGTTTATTCATTTTTATTTCTTAACAGCAAACATCAAAACATCCTTTTTTAAAGGGGGAAAAAATAACCACCTTGTAAACATTACCATTGCAAGAGGTGCAGCCTGCCCTTCTCTAGGAGAGGGGTATGGTAAGCAGGCCATGGGACCATTCGCACCCTTTTTTAGCAAAAGAACTGATTCCAGACTGCAAAATGAGCTCGACTGGAGGAAGGGACAACCAATTTACAATGGGGGGAGATTCCATCAGCTCTTTAAAAACCCCCAACAGCAGCATCCATCTCCAGGGCTGCACAATATCGAGAGTACTGATGTGTGCTGGGCTGCTTCAAGAGGGCACTGGAGAGGGTAGGAAACATTTCAGCTACATGAGGTACGTTCTGAGCAGTATATACTGAGGTCCCCTTGTGCAGACTGTGCATGATGGGTGCCAGGGTCTGATTTCTGTGACAACAACCATTTCATACCCTATCTCCAGACTGACACCAGGGGACTAGGAGTTAAATCCTAGGGGCTGCCACTGCACATTTCTAATGCTATTATAAAGCTCAGACCAACACATTCCTGTTTAGAAGCAGCCTTCTGCATTTATTTGTTCTTACATCAGCTCCCTGGCTGGCACTACCATCACATCCCTAAGGTACAGCTGCTGCTTTTGGAAATTGGAGGGGTGATCTGTCTAGGAGTGCAGGCTAGTTACTGAATTTTTTAAAGCCAGTCTGCTTACAAAGGGTCTCCCTAGGCTGCCTAATGAAGGCATTTACTAATGAAGACATTAATGGTGTGAATTCACAAGAAACTTTGGATGGCCCAAGTGGATACTGTCCTTCTGGTTTGCACAAAGCCTGCAGATACGTATTCCAAAGTCTAAATAGGTAGTAAATGCATGCCTGAGATAAAGAGGTGTTAAAGACCTCAGAGGCCAACCACTTGGACTAAGTACCAATACTTACCAGTATAGGCCAATACACTTCATATACTTTTTCCTGAAATGCCAGTGTGCCCCTGAATCAATATGTGTGATTTTAAGGTAACTTTTTTTTTCTCCAGTAGAGACAGCCTTTTTTTTTTTTTTTCTTGCTAGGAAAGCAGGAATAAAATAAACAATGTGGTCAAGAGAACAACAAAAAGAGAAAAACTTAAGTGCTACCACATGACTTTTGATCACTGTTTTTGGTAAAGAAAGAGTTGCTGCCTAGTGAGGCCACTGTCCTTTGCCCTGGGTCCTACCCAGAAGCTCAGCCAAGCAGTGGCTTGTGCAGGTGGAAAAGGCCAGTCTAGCCACATCATCACGCAGCAGAGAGAAGGACATAGGACTGGACATGCCACTCTTCCTTTGCTGCAAGCAGAAAGCAAGGAGAAGCAACTGAGAGACTGTGGCACATCTTAAGGAGATAAGACATCAGTGGGAAAAAAAGTCACACTGAGAATAGCAAGTTTGAACTGTCTTTCCTCTTCCCTAGCATCGCTTATTTCAAGGCTCATTCATTCCTTTCAAACCATGCTTTGCAGCCTGTACCCCTGACAGCAATGTGGCCAGACTGGCTGACCTATGTGGTCCATGCCCATATGGCACTTCGCAAAGCTCAAGCAGGTGTGTGTGACCACAAGAGATCTGGAAATAAAATCCTTCCCTCTTCCACTTGCCTTGACCAAAAGGTACATAATCGTGACCAACACCTTACTGTGTCACCGCAGACCTGGGCACTGTTACAAGCTTCTCCCTCAGCACATGCACACTTTGTTAATATGCAGAAGCCAGCTGAGCAGCTCAGCTATGACCTGCACGTTGCTGGCTGCAAGCCTGAGGGCCTGACCCTTCAGTGCCATATTCCAGACTCTCATCAGACAGTGTCAGGTAGACGCCAGAGGGACTGGTGTGCCAGCAATCAAGGCAAACAAAGGAGGAGAGGCATCTTCTAAAGCAAACCCAGCCAGTCCACTTCCTGCATGGTCTATGCTGGGAAGAAGCGGGGAGAAAAAACACAATCTCCTCAAAAGAAAAAAAAAATCCAAATCACCATGTCTGCCTTGAGCAAAGAAGAGCCACAGTAGGTAAAAATAACTCCTCTATGGCAAGTGGTGGGGGTCCACAAGGCCAAGGTCAGCTCAAGACAAGGCCAAAGCTGCTTTGCTACAGACAAGTCATTTACCCTGACACAGAGGACCAGGAGGACAAGCAGCCACCGCAGAGAGAGGTTAATAACCACTGGACAGAGTACAAGAGGTGCTGCCCATTTCTCCTCTTCAGAGCTGTTACTGCTTCAGTCAGAGCTGACAAGCCCAGTGAGCACCAGGCTCAACGTGAAAGGTGATGCATTCAGCCAACAGTGCAAGGAAAATCACAGGAAATGCTCCCTCCCAGGCTTCCCAGTATGGAATTGTGCTGAGCAGACCAGCCCCTGAAAAAGCCACCAAAACCTCCAGTCAACATCCCGCAGCATAAGACAAGGCTGCATTTATCCCAAATGGAGCAAGGAGGGCAGGATGATGCTGTTCTGAGAAGAGGCTGGTGAGAGGGTCTTCCAAGTCCAGGCTGCCCACCAAGGAGGACAGAGCAAGTAGCAGCTGGTGGCCTGCCAGCCGCTAGGTGTTACAAGCTTTCTGCAGAGCTGAATGGGACAAACTTGGCATGTTTGGTTGGGGATGCTGGAGTCGGTCCATCTGCCTCTTCACTCAGCTTGAAGAACATCTCCTGCTCACGCTTCTTTTGGTTCAGCTCATCCTCCAGAGCCTTAAGCAAAAAGTAACACACACAAGATATGTGATGGTGATTACAGTGGAGCTATGGACACTGTCCCCCCAACCAGCTGAGCAGGACACCCTGCTCACACAGAGGAGGCACTACCTTCTTCCGTGGCCTCAGCATGTCCCGCCACTCCTTCATGTGCTGGTTGTGATTCTCATCCAGGGATTTTAGCTTCTGCGTTTCATGTTCAATCAAGAGGTGACACTTTTCATTCTAAACACAGACCACACAATAAAAACACTCATTAGGGACCATAAACCCTGTGCTCTAAGAAGACTTGCATCAGCCAGAGGCATTCAGAGCTCTGAACTCCAGGTCATATATAGCCCCAAAAGCCTCTAAAGGAAGAGCAGGAGGATATCGGTTCTAATGTACTGGCAATTCTCTGCAGCTACTCTGCTTGCAAAGGCCAGACCCCCTCTGTACAGGTTTTGCAGGGGATCAGATGTGCTGTGCAAGCTCACCTGCAGCTGCTGGAGCTCAGTTGTGTTGCTCTCACACTGGGCAAGCATGTCCTTCATCTGCGTCTCGGGTTAAGAGACTAACTTTATTATCTAAAGGTAGTTAAAAAAAAAAAAAAAAAAGGCTGCAAGGGAAGGGTTGCTTCCCAACACTGCTCACACAGTGAGCAGCACTGAAAACCATCCCTGATGCCACAAAAGCAGAGAGTCCTAATGCCCTGCACTGGGTTAGACGTCTGGGATCAGTAGCCTCTTTCCTCTCTAATCTCCATTCTGCCAATAGGACAGTAAAATACCCTCAAGCTGAGCTTCAAATTGATGCCCTTTGCAGAATCTGACCTGTTTTATCTTCTCCCGCTGCTCGGCTGCACTCCCGCTGGAGTGGATGTGAAGGCTCTTCTTGTACATGGCCATGCGTGTCTTCCCTTCGCTCCTCTGGATTTTGGGGAGCCGGGCTTTCTCCTGCTGCTGCCGAACTTTCAGCTGTTCTATCATGCGTTGGTTGTATCGCTGCATTTGCTCCCTCTCCTGTGAGAGCAGAAGAAAAATCATCAGAGAAGTCAGACCAACAGGGAAACTGCTGAGGAGACTGAAAGGAGCTGGAGAGCTCTGCACACAGGCAGAGGACTTGGGAGCTGCACGGAGGTAGCTGGAGACAGACAACTCCTTGGGGAGAAAGGAGGGCAAGAAGTGAGGGCAACTAGTGAACCTGCTGCAAACGCAGAGCAGGAGAAGGCTTAAAGGAAGCAGAAATGACTGTGAGATCTGCCACACGGTGCCCATCAGCACAGCACCGGGGGAGGAAGGAGTTAACTCTTCACCTTCTCATGCTTCCGGAGCAACTCATGCCGCTGGAGGAAGTACTGGTCCTTCAGCTGCTGCTTGACAAGCTGGTGCTTCTCCTGCTGCTGATGCTCTTCAAGATCCCACATGCAGGCCTCCCGATCTGAGCAAGGCAGAAGAGTCAGGAGAAAACCCTCCCTGGCATCCTGGCTTGGTCGCACGTAGCATCCCAAGCATGAGCAAACCCTACATGCAGGAGCAGCGCAGCAGACGCAGGGGGTGATCATTCACCACCTGTTTTCCAAGAGAAATTGATTGCAAACTATATTGGTGATGCATTTCTTGCAATTATGAAACCTAATTGGTTCATATTTGTAAAGTGCTTTAAAGCTTAAAGCTCTAAGTATTATAATTGTTAAACATTTAGACAGGATCTGGCAAGGATGTTTTTTGCCAAATCCTGTCCTGCCAGCTTGCAACTCTGTCGCAGCATCTGTTGCGTGGGAAGAGCCAGCATCAGATAAACCTATTGCTACAGCATTTGCTTTCTTCCTCTTCAGCCTTTGCCACCCACCTCTCATGAGCTGCTGCTTTTTGTTCAGGCACTCGCGTTCCTTGTCACAAATCTCCTTTTTGTTCTGGGCTGTTATATTCTTCATGGCCAACTCCAGATCCTCTTTCTGCTTGGTCAAAAACTCCTGTTCCTGGAAGAGAACAGCAGTAGCACCTTGAGGCCTCCTTTGCTACAACTTGACAAGCATCTGGTGGAATTTTAACATGTGCCAGTCCTTAAGGGAGGGAGGTCAAAATGATGCATGCTTCTGCCTCCTCCAGTCCTCCCACTCTGAGCTGGAACAATTCTCTCCCTCAGCCTTACCATGGTTTGCTTCTTTTGGGAAAAATCATCCATCTTCACCTTCATGTTTCCTTTCCGCTGTTGCCGGGGCAATTTTTCAACCTCATTCTTGACCTTTAGGGGAAGTAAAGGAGATTTTATCAGCAGGTAACTTTGGTCTAGGAACAAACCCACCTAATGTCCCCAAACAGCTGGATCTCAGGAATCATTTAAAAATGTCAAATAAAAGAGCTTACTGCCAAAACATTAGCAAACACTTTCCTCTCAAGATCTACTGCAGAGAAATAGTGATGCTTTCCTGGAAAAAGCAGATGCAGGGAACCATCCCTGCATCCCTTTCCCATGCTTACCTCCTTCTTCATCTGCTTCAGCTGCTCCAGAAATTTGGTGTGATCCCGTTCCTGCTCCAAGCGAATGCGCTTTGCCTCCTCTCGCCGGCGCAGTGAGTGATCTTGTTCCATCTTCTCGATCTGCTGCTTCTGCTGACGTTCAAGGTTCTCCAGTTCGGTGTCATAGAATTTTTTCTTTGCCTATTTGGGAAGGAAATATAGGTCAGCCTCAGCCTCCTCTTTACTTCCTTCCAAATGATAAAAATAAAAAAAAAAAGGAAAAAAAAAGTGGAATCTCTGTATGGACTGAGCCTCTTTATAGGCAGAAGTTTCCAAAAATGACATTTGAAGCACACAGAGCAGAACTACTAGCAGGAGCAGGAAACATTCAAATTCTCATGTTAATGCACTGCAACCCCCTCTGCTTGCTCGAGTCCTGATCTGCAACATCCCACTGGGACCCGTTGCTCTGGGAAAAATATTAGCACACAGTGCCCCAGCACAACATTTCTTGCTCTGCAGATGCAGCCTTGCGAGTCTGAGCGTGCTGCACTCCAGCAGCCCCTTTGCATCTCTCTTCTCAGGTGGCAGAGGCAGAACATGCCAGTGTTAATGGGGGCAGATTGCTAAGTGCCACAGGGGAACTGTACGGGAAGCACATGCAGGGGCTTTACACATTGCACAGTGCTGTGAACAAATCTTACAAATGAGAAGTGACTTGTTAGGGTGGAAATTCACAGATGTGGCATGTCAAGACTTTAGAAATGTAAGAGAAACAGGAATTGAATGATGCTCCTGTCACCCTGCCAGAAGAAGATGGGGTTACTGAGCATACATGCTAGGTGAATTAAGAAAGAGAGATTTAAAAGATGGCTCAGGAAAGGTTTAAAGAAGTGACTTATCTACAGAATTATTTTAACATAAGCTCCCCAAAGAAAGACTAAGTATTTAAACTCTGTTGATCTTTATTCAATTTATGCCCAAAGACTTTCCAGTTTTTCTGCTCCCACACCCTGGCTCTTCTGCTTTCTTATTTAAAGGGTTTTTTCCTGTGAAATACAGGAACAACGTGCTATAATCTGTTTCTCACAGTAGTCTCAAACAGACATATAAGGAAAAAGCATTGAAGAGGGAAAGTCCAGAGCACTCCTTCCCCTGCTACACCCTCCTGGGGCAATGGTCATTAGTGCTTGCTATGCTGCATGTGCTTAATGGCCACAGAAGACTCCATCCTCAGCACATGCATCCAATCCCTCAAATCCTAAAAAGGTTTCTCAGCTCTCTGTGGACATGATATCCCAGGACTGCTGCAACCCAGACAGGGCTGTCTCGTGAGTGGGTTTGCAGGGCATCTGCAGAGAAGCCAGACCAGCTGCTGTTCAGGAGCTTCCCCTGCCCACATACCGTCAATTCTTGCTCAAAGCGTCTGAACATTTGCTCCAGCTGCAACTGGTGCTTGCTATTGAGCTGGGCCTGGTTTCGGTGCTCCTCCTTCTGAAGGAGACGCAGTTCCCGCAGCTCCTGGCGCCTATGGAGAATCCAAAAGGAGGAGGAGAGAGAAATGCACAGTCAGACAAGTTCAGAGAGACATGCCTGAGCAGAGACGGCAGAATCAATAACGAGAGCACTGCTGCAGTACAGGAGAATTGCACAGCTGTCCCTTAGCACTGCCACTCTCGCCCTGAGTACAGGCAGGTGAACACTGCCCGCTGATGGGCTCCTGGGCTCTGTGACACCAGATCGCTGGAGGAAGCAGGATGTTAATTGCGTTAACTGTTGGCCACAGGGAAGCCAATTGCTATTTAGGACTTTGGAAGCAAGCCTTGACAAAACTCCTGAGGTGATGCTGCAGGCAATACTCTGCCATCTGAAATCCAAGACACCTATCCTGCCATCCACCCTAGCACATACTGGTCTTCACAGCCCAAGCCAAGCCAATGTTGCCATCCTGGACCCCATGGCTCAGCACACGTTCTTGCTCATAACAAGATTGTAAAAAGGGCAGTTTCTCCAGATTCTAACTTATCTATGCAATACTCCCCTCATGTATTCATTCAGCTTTACATCCAGTGAAAGGGGGTCTCTGCCCAGTGTCTGAGTCCATTTGGCAAGTTTATGCCCGGGTGAGCTGTAAATCACTGATGTGCCACTCAAGAGGGAAAGGGGTAACAATTTTTCTATGCAGAATCCCTTTCATGACCTCTGCTATGCATTAGTGTTGCACATTTCAGTACAGCTTTCTCTGGGGGCCCTACTGGGAAAATCACTTTAGAGCGATTTCTTTGATCAAAACAAACTCTAGGCCTATTAAATCAATTGGCCCAGCATGTTGTGCTAGCTTGTATTCCCACCTTCAAATCAATACCTTGGTGTACTCCAAAAAGCCAGCAATAAGACCCTTAAGTGCAAAACAGTACGGCAGGAGAGTTCATTATGCCTGCTAGCTGGCCCCACCAGAATAACTCCATCTGAAAGATGTTCAGGGACTTGAAGCTTTTCAACCCAAGCCTCTCTGTACGTTCTTCCACCTTGTAGGTCACAGGAGGAGGCAGACTATTAAAAAGAGCAGCCTGTTTTCAGGGATGCAGCCACATCTGCAAGAGGACCAGGAGACAGCACCCCGGCTGCGAATGCTCTGTGCAGACACATGCTCCCCAGGTACCTCTGGATGTGCGCTGCTTGAAAGAAGTAGCTAATGAGCTACTACATACACTCCCCATTAGGGACTAGAAATAAGTCTGCCATGGTGACATACTGTGCTCAGGACAGATTATATGCTCAGGGAGTCCTTCAGAGCTGTGCAAATGAAGCTTAGAACAGAGAACCAAGCCAAAAAAATGTATTTTAATTCTTAAATAGGCCTCTTCATTTCACTGATGCTACGAATAGTCATGGAGTTAGAAACAGCCCTTTCCCTCCCTAATAAAGGGTTAGTGACATTTGAAGGCTAAAAAAATCTGTAATGGCATCATAAAGGTTTAAGCGAGGAGGACATGCCGTGAATAGAGTGGTGGTCAGAGTTTACAACGTCCTGAGTCTTTTTGTTAACAAAGGATGAAATACAAGAACAAAAGGAATATGACCATCTTGAGAAGTTTTCTGTGCTTAATTCCACTGAGCTTAATTCCATCCACAGCCCTGGAGACACACATTTGATCATTCCCAGAGAAGGCTCAGAACCAGCCAGCACAAGCTTCCCTTATCATAACCTTGCCACATCTTAACCCCAAGATGCATCCCTCATTCTCAAGTATGGAGAGCTCAGTATATGTGCTCAGAGCACCCTATGCTTGGCACAAATGCAGCCCAGAAAAGGATGCTCACGTAGGACAGTTGTCCTATCTGAGCTGGACCACGACTACTACATTTCCCAGAAAAGGCAGACAGCGGAAGGAATTCTGGTTGGTCCTGGGTTTGTTTGTGGAGAAAGAAAATCCTGTCTCAGATATCTACTGTGTACTCCCCTCGGCCTTGGTGACCAACTTACCTGAGAAACCTCATCTCTTCATCCTTCTTCTCATCCTCACTGATGATCTTTGAGGTGGTGACGCTCACTTCTACTCCATCCACCACAAACTTCCGGGTCCGCTTCAGCGTCTTCTTCTGCATCCGAGAATCCTGACATTCAGCAAGGGAAGAAAGAGAGAGACCATAAAGTTGGCTCCCTGGCTTACCATGCAGGATGCTACAGCTGAAAGTCTTAGAGCAACATTCATGCTGTTGCTAATAAAGAACATAAGCAAGGAAACTTCATTAAACAAAAATCAGCAGCAGATTTGGAATTCCAGTTCAAGCCATACAGTCTTTGCTTACTATTATGATGCGTGATTTCCACCCTCCAGAAACATGATCTGGAAGAGAGACAACCCACCACCCTGAGGACCCTTCCTTGCTTTGTCTAACAAGGTTGACAGAGGATATTGGGGCCTCAACTGCACTGCAGCGCCTAGGAACCACATGAAACGTGAAGTTTGTAAGGTTTCCCTTTAAGCCTCCGGGGCCATCCGACTCTCAGGTTCCCCCAGCACACCTGCAGATCCAAGGCAGGCAAGGCTTCCACGTCAGGCTCACAATTCCAGACAGAGCTGCATGGAAGCAAGCCAAGCTTGCCTGAAGGCGCAGACCGTCTGTCCCTCTGGCTCTCATTACAGTGCTTAGCTAATCACAGGCGACTCCAAGCCCCTCGGTGACCTCCGCAAAGCAAGCCAGGCTCACTTCCACTGGGGTAGGTGGAGACAACTGCCAGGAGTGGTGCTCACTCTTGGCTACGGCACAGCTAGCGGGCATTCCTCCTGGATTGATGCACAGAGCATGGCTGCACAACTGGACCAGGCAGTCAGCTTCTTTGGCAAAAAGGTAAGGATATGAATGACTTAAATCCTGCGGTCCTACAGAGAAAGCACAGTGGTGGAACGGGCAAGCACTCCCCAGGCCCCTCTTGCTCTTTTTTTGGCTTCTGCTCCAATCACCATCACAGAGGAGACAGCACGAGAGCTTCTTGTGAGCCCCAGAGACCAGAGCTTGGCGGTCCCCAGAGAGCTTGCTGCAATGAGCTGGAGAAACCCTAAGGGCGAGCTACTTGTAACTGCAGAACCACATACTTGCCCATTCATGGTCAAACCTACATGGCAAAGCAGGTGCAAAAGCCTTGCATGAGCTGTGCACATGCATAGCTTAGCTCACACAGGCCCTTATTGCCCCAAATTGCATTCAGGCAGCAGAGCTAAAAATCCTACACTTGCAAATGGAGCAAAGGCCAATATTAGCATGGCTGAGCTGCCTGCAGGGCTCATTCAGCACATTGACTCAGGCAGCTGGGACAGCACTTGGCCCTGAGCTGTGCTACGGGGCTCTTCCTCTGCTGCCAAGCACACGGCTCCCGAGCTTATTCTTGAGGCTATTCAAACTTAGATCTGCAACTAGAATTATTCATTTTCTCCTGGCTTTTGCTGATGTCCCTTGGTAGAGGGTCGAGATCCTCTGCTGAACATGAGCAAATGTATTTCCATGACACTTCTGTGAGATAAGCTATATTCCAAACACAGCAAACTGACTGTGAGAAACAGGTCACTGGGGACACTGACTTTATGTGCCCACTCTGAGCACATTTTGCAGTGTAAATCATAGTGTGTCTCCTCCATCTCTCCAGGGTTTTAGCAGAAGCTGTGAACACTCACTTCTCATGCAGATCAGGCATCAAAGACAAGCTACATGCTCAAAACCAGGATCTCCTGCACAAACAGTCACCTTAACTTCGCAGGTTAGTAATAAAAAACATTTAACAGTTGATATCAGAAATGCTTTAACTCTCTGCTATCCCATCTCTTGCTGATACCTGGCACACATACAGGGAAAATGCAAGCAAGGGGAGAGTATCACTTGGGAGGGGAGTTTGGCTCGGCAAACAGAAGCATGTGCCCGGAAGCTAGTGTGATGCTTTGTGTGGACAAGGGGGAGAAGGCAGTAAGAAAACCCTCCTTCCCAGGTCCCTCCTGCATCTCTTCAGTGTACAAGTAAACAAACAGGCACAGCTATTTCCTGCAGCTGTAAACAGGAGCCCCTGGAAATCGCAAAACATCCCAGCATGGGGCTGCCCCAGCAGCTGAGAGGAAGAAGAATTCAACCTCAAGGAGAATTAAGTGCATTGAAAATGCTGGGGCTCAGCTCTCTGATCTGGGCACAAAGACCAGAAGTACGTGCCTAGGCTTTGGCCAAAGCAATGCATATGTGTGGTTTCTTGCTTCTGTTGTGAAACTTAAATCAAAATACAAAGTGCAGCCCGACCAAGAGAGACCCAGAGCTGCCTGCAATCGAAGCAGCACAGTCTGCCAGGACCAGGGCACTGGCGCTGGGCTGGGAGCTCCCACAGCAGCTAGCCCAGATGCTCATCTCCAACCGCAGACCTGGGCAAATCATGTCAATTGAAGCGTGCCTGTTGTTCCGTTGACACCCCCCATCTGTCCCATAATTGGGACCATGGTTTCCAGCCTTATGGAGGATTAGCATTTTCCAGGAGTCCGACCTTCCTCTTGTATCGTGGCTAGGTGGAAGGAAGCAGCACAATCCAGTCCCTCCCCCCACACTCAAATCTCGGTGCAAAATGCACCCTTTTGTCTTTGCACTCTGATGGTGAAAAATAAAGAAGTCGGAAGGAGTTCCTGTGCTGCAGCACAATGCCCCCTGAGAAGGTCATTAAAGGAGACCTTTGCTCAGAGATAGGTAATCTAGTTTGGTTTGAGCATAGAGTCAAAGCAAACTGTAATCAAACATCACCATCTCTTTTCGAGACTTAATCCCAGTAAAAACTCAGACAACTCCGTTTCCTTTCTAGGGGATCCATCAGGGAGAGCTATCATATATGTAACATTGTACACATCTTTGGCTGCCCTCTAAGGTGACCATGGCACCAGGAGAGCTAGCGCAGAAGGGTGAATTGCTATACAAGAGCACCAGAGCATCACACTTGCCCCATGAGCAGAGCCACGCTAACTGTAGGCTCCTGGTGGGAGGCCAGCTATCATGCTCACAGCAGGAGAGAGGAGGTGAGAAAGTTTTGCCGAGAATGGTATTTGGGCATGTTTATATGCCGGGAAGCGCTCACTCATGCAGGCAGTCAGATAAAGATCTTGTGCAACACAAATCTCTGCCCCTTCAAGGCACACACATTACTTCATCTGTAGCTCAGCGAATATCATTCCAGTTATTTTGTGTCTTCAATCAAAACCATGCTGACCTAGTGTGTTCAGGCTTGCAAACAGTCTCCAAAAAGCCTTAAAAACAGCCAAAAAGCCTGGGAGGTCGTAGTGCAAGTTACTACTGACGCAAAGCAGGCTGGAGCATGGCAGGTTGGAAAAATCAAGTGCACCAGCCCAAATAAGCTGTCTCCTTGGACCAAGTGTTTAGGCAAGAGCCGTATAATGATTGACCACCTATAAAATTTAGGAAATCACATTTTGGATTTCCACACTTGAGCTTGCTCAGCCTGCATACCAACTGCAAAAGCCAGGTCAGCAGCATGGTTAATTCGGGTTTGTTAGAGACCCAAATTAACTGCAGGATGATTTGAATTTTGGGGATAATATACTTAGTCAAAAAGAAAAAAAAAAACAAACAAACACCACTACTTAATAAGGGGTTTGCCCTATTTCCACCTTTACACCCTCTACCCACCACTCTCACCTTCAGAGAGAGCGAGCCACTCTCTCTGTTGAGGGACAGGTCAGCAGACAGCGAGATGGTGAGGTCCATGCTTTCTGAAGCTGAAGTGCTGCCGGAATCGGAATCTCTTTTGCATCGGCTGCTGGAAAAAGGAGTCGAGGAATCCAGGCTCCCATTGGCAAGTTTATCCTCTGTGAAGTTTTCCAAGTGGCTACTCTCTGGCCGGTCCCCGATGCTCTTGTGCTCTTTGCTGGCTGTCCCTGGCTGCTTGTTCCCTTCGGTTGAGTTACTCAACTTGCTCTGGGTGCTGAAGGTGACTTCCCCACCTTCTGTGCCAGTGGCAGCAGAGCTGGTGACAGATTTCATAGGGTGGTTGCTCTCCATCTTTTTATTGTCATTGCTTATCCCTTCATCTCCCTTCATTTTATTGCTTTGTCCATCTGCAATCTCCTTTCCAGTCTCCACAGGCCCATTAACTATCATGGGTAAGGAAGAGTCTGGAGGTTTCTCCCCATCAAAACTCATCTGACTTGCTTCAGAGGGATCTCGTTTGTGCTTTCCAGGGGGCTGAAAGGACACAGAGGGAAAATGTTGGGCTTTGCACAGAAAGCAGGAAGAGAGTGGTCATGGGTATGGGACAAGAAAACCAGATTCAAAACCGAGAATCACAAACCCAAACAAAGACAAGTGTCATGGCCATTTTCTCTTGGGCAAGAGACCTACATGTCTCCCACAGAGCTCTCACTATGACTTTATCACAACTGCAAGAGCCATAAATCTTCATGCCTCAGAGTAAAGGTACCCACAGCTAAGGAGCTATTAGGGGGAAATTGTCTCTTTGAGGCATCAGTCCTGGGATATTTATATCTTTTTCCGGGTAGGTGGTCCTGAGAGCTGTGGACATTAAGGGAAGGGAAGAGGAAACTCCAAGGAACCACAGATTCTTCAGAGACAAGCTAGGATTTTCCATATTGAACCCCTTTTCTCTTGGCTAACAGCAGCACTGTCGTTTGCCACACATTGGAGAAGGTCTGGCATCTCCCGTTGCCCAGGAACCCTGTCTCACTTCCAGTAGACCTGGCACAGGGGTTTGCCAGGCTCTGTCCTAAAGCTGGCGGAGCCCTCACTGTTGTCCCACAGCCTATCAGCATTTTCTTCCCCTCCAGCTTCTCAAGCTGGTACCAGGCTCTGTTTTACAGCCTTTTTTTTTTTTTTTTTTTTTTAGGACACATCTGGCCAGGAAAAGGAGTGGCATTTCCTAACCTCTCCTGGAATTAGGAAGCATGGACTGCATGCTCCATGCTTTCCCAATCCAGAGCATCGGATAGGTCCTGGACTATGCTAACATTGGCTGCCACTTTGCAAGGATGATCCATGTCAAGCCAGCAGCACCTCCCCTTCCTCCTGCCTTCCTTCCCTGCACGTGTGCCTCCTTTCAGCAGCACCGCAGGGGCTGGAAATGAACTGACACCGGCACCGTGAGCCCAGTCACTGGTGACCCATGTGGACAGCACTGCCTGCCCAGGTGCCGCAGGGAGGCTCCAGGCTCCACATTCTGCAGCAAACCTCCTAGTTCTTCCCCGGGGCAGCAGATTGTCACTGCGAAAGGGACACCTGGCCACCGTCCAGGGGCATTGTTCCGCATGCCCTTGGTGGTCACGGGAAAATGGTCCCTCCCTGAGGGGAAACCGCTTTCCCGTCCCCCCAACTGGAGCTGACGCAGTGGCAGCCGTCTCCCCAGGGGCATCTGGAACGGGGAAACCCTTAGTGACCGGCCTTGCAGAGCCAAGGAAAATGCGGGGCTGCTTCCTGCACGGCTCTGCGCCACGAGCAAGTGAACTGGGCCTGGGAAGGGGGGTTAAACGCTCACCGAGGCAGACTCAGACGAGTCGTCCTCTTCTGCTTCCTCCCGGCTGTCTTCAATCTCCTCCATCACCTCGGCCTTCGCCTCTGCCACCAGCTCGCGCAGGGCCCGGTTGCTGGTGACCTTGCTAACAAACGGATGCTGGAAAGCCAAGCACGACACACATGTGTTAGGAGGGCAACGAAGGGGCCGTGCAAGGCTGGAGACAGAGCAAGTGAATAGAAACTGTGGGGCTGGCATTGCTGGGGAGGCGAGGAGCCTTCCCTGCTTATGAACAGTTACAAAGACGTAGGGACACGATTCCTCCCAGCGTTACCAGGCATAACCCCGTGAATGAATTCACAGCTTTGTGCAGTGCGTGTGCAACAGAGGAAGAAGCGGGTGCTGAGGTTACGCACTCAGAGCGCAGCACGTCAACAGCCACCAAACAAAAGCAACAGCTGCATTTAAACAAGGACTCTCACTGCAGAAGACATCTATTAAAGATGTCCTTTCCTTGCCATGGGAGGGCTGGGGCCAGGGATCAGGTCTCCTGACTCTGCAAGGAGCCTTCTGCTGTGGAGGGTAGGGCAAATCCTTCAGAAAGCACAAGTGCAAACAGAGCTGGTGGGGAGCATTTGCAAGCAGCAAAAAAAAAAGCAGGGGGGGGCTTTTATTGCTTTTCCCCCCCTACTTTTCGAGGGGACAGGATGGAAAGAAAAGAAAAGATGTGAATTAAAATACGGCATAACACAAGCTGGCTGCCACAGTGGTATTTTTAGGAAATGGGAGTCCATTTCTATTCCAGCTGATGTCAATAGGAGCTCTGCAGTTGGCTGCAAGAGGGGAAAACATCACTACTACTCCATAGAGCATTTTAGTGGATGAAAAGTACCGAGCACTTTCTAAGCAAAAACAACATGATCTGAAAGCAGTCTGGGTTTTTTTTTTTTTAAAAAAAAAAAAGAAAAAGAAAAGAAAAGAAAGAGAGAGAGAGGTAGAGAGAAACAGAACCAGGATATACCAAAATGGGTGGTCCAGACACCTAAAGACTCATGAAGATACAGACATAACCACAGGTCCAGCCCGGGGCTGGTGCTGGCCCATACCTCCAGCAGCTGTGCTGCACTTGGCCGGGTCTCCGGGTTCTTGTCCAAGGCAGTCTTCAAGAAGTCTCTGAATTCTTTGGACCTTTAAACACAAATTTGCAAAGAAGGTTACAATGTTAGGGAGAGATGCCCATTCCTAGCTTTGCTGCCCAGTTTGATTCCCAACAGAAATCCTTCTGGGCTACAACACAAAACCCAGCATGCATCTTCCTAGGAGCCAGGCCCAGGCTGGCCGACCGCATGCGGGATCAGCAGGCTCCGCTTTACCATTTGGAAGGGCAGCTGAGTGTGGGAGGGTCGGACTTGCTCTCATGGGGTTGAGCTCATGATGGGGCGGCTCTATCTGGGCCATTTCGATGAGCGTAATTCCCAGCGACCAGATGTCAGCCTTGTAATCGTACGGAGTATCTTTCATGGTCTCGCACATCACCACCTCTGGGGCCATCCTGCAACGGGCAGAGCAAGGAGAGGGGATGATGAGGGATTACACCACCGCCATTGCCACACACAGGCCTCATGACCATGATTCAATACTTTAAATATTCTATACCATGGCACAAATATGGCCTTTCTTAGCTCTAGGTTTAGGAAGAAGCAGCATCTTTGCTTAAAGGAATGGTTCAATCTCTTCTAACCTCCTCCCTCTTCCTCTGATCGCCTGAGACAGCGCGCAAAAACCCTCTGGCCATTGACATCTGGCACGGACACTACTCCAGACAATAAATTCATACTCTCCCAATCCATTCCTTCAGCAAGTTGGATGATTTAGAGATTACATTTCTGCAGCAAGGAGTTGTTCTCATGTGCCTGGAGCTGCTTCAAAGCACGGGCGGCCACCCGGGGAAGGGAGAGCGGTGAGAGCACACACGCAAGCACATGTGTGTCCCGCACTCCTCCAAGTTTGGAGCATTGCAGCCTTTCGGGCTGGCTCTGTGCACCGTAACCGCTGCTCCCTCCGCACAAGGGAAACCCTTGCACGTGGGAATCCCGACTCAGACTCCTTGATACATAGATCCCAAATACTAGTGGATCCATATCACTAGACACGACTGGTTTTCAGAGAAAAGGTCCCACAGCTCCTTATGAACGTTGGATTTCTTACAAAGTAGCTCACCCACCAGTAAGGGGTTCCAATGAAGGAATCTCGCTTCTGCAAGGTTTTCATGTTTTTGGCAGACACTCCAAAGTCAGCTGCAAAGAGCGGTAACATTAGAAGCATTAGGAAAACTGAAAGACCCTTCTGAATTAGCACACTTGGCTGAAATTCAGATTTAAAAGCAAATACATTTAAAACAAGAACATGACACAATGTGGTGTTTCTTCTAAACTGAGCATCAGAAATTAAACTTATTTTTATGTACACAACCACCAGGGACCCTCCCCTCCCACCTATGATATAGCAGTAGCGTTACATATCTACATATCCCTACATGTCTAGAGGGAAGATCATTTCCCACAAAGAACTAAAAAAATCAGCAGGTCTATGACTGATTCCTCTTAGCACTGCCATTCAGTAACAAAATGTCTCATTATTCCATCAGAAAAAAACAAAGCACTATTACATTTGCTCTCTCTTCCCTTCAACCCAATACAGAGCAGTCCCTGAGTGACACCATTCCCTGACTTTTCCTTCCAAAAGAAAACCGCTGAAGTCAACCCAGACTAAGTCAGTAGGACATGAAGAAGGTGCTGGGCCCGCTACAGGTCGTCTCTCTCTGATGGCCTCCAGAGGAGCTGTTATCCATTTTGCACCCCCACACTGAGGGTACCACTGCTAGTGGGTCTCTTAGGAAATACCCTGCTGGATTATGCCAATGTCGGAGCTCAGCCCATAGTTGCATGAAGGTTTCCATCTTTCTAGGCTGCCTGTGCATGGCCTCCCATTTCACAATATGGGAGCGAGTCTCCAGCCAGCACCCACAGAAACATCACATGAACTTCCCACAGTGGCTCTACCCCCTCGTTAAGGGCTAGTAATAGATTTCCTCCTTTCTGACCAGGCTACAAAGTTCCCTTCTCATCCCTCAGCATGTAGATGGAGGTGAATTTAACTCAAGTCTATAGCAAGTTGGCAAAGCAACTTGTTGGCAAACCTTGTCCTGTCACCAGCAGACCTGCTCTGCAGATAAGATGAATTCTTTCAGCTTCCAGCCCTGCCAACTGGCACCTTTTACAGGATGCTCAGTGGGCCAAAAAGCATAAAAATTGAATTCAAAAAGTGATTAAACAAACCCATGAAATAAAAGTCCATCAAGGCCCAGCTCTGGCTTGTGAAGTCTCCAGGCCCTGCACTGCTTGGGGATGGAAGGCACAGTGTGCTTCCACTTTCCTCATCCCAATGAGATGTTGGATGGACCCAGAGCAGCTGTTTTTTTGTTCATGGTTCTTGATTATAATTTTGTCTTGCCAAAGGGGAATCTCTCGGAAAATAAGTTATATATAAGATGCACCTATTAGTAACTGGGGGAGCCCCATTGCTCTTGCCTGCAGCACTCATGGCACAGAGCACAGAGCTCCGCAGGTGCTGCCCAGAGCCCCTTCCTGAACCAAGTCGAGCTATGGGGCTCATTGAACAGCACAAAGGCATTTATGGAAAGTCATAGCAGCAATTCCCTGAAGGCAACGAGAGAGGTGCACGCACTGCAGCCTAGTTCAAGAACTCAGTCACACAGTGCCCAGAGGGTCCCCATTTTTGGGTCCCACGAGCTACTACAGGTTAGAGGACCCCATGGAGCAGCATGTTGCCAAGAGCTACTTGGTGGGGACCCATCTTTCCTCATGCTGCTTTGTGCTCCAGCAGGGATATTTTCACGCTTTCCAACTGCTTCCTTCTCAGTCTAGTCTTTCAGCCCCAAGGAGTTAATAGAAAACATCCCTGTGTTTCTACTTTCAGCAGATATCAACAGAACTCCTCAACAAAAAACAGCACACAACTTAATGGTTGCAGCACAGAACCTTCCCCCATCCTTTCCTGGCCAGGCTCACAGAGAAGCAGAGCTGCAGGCAAGAAAGCCCCCAACAGCCAAAGCCCCCCACTCCCATACACATGGCAGGAAGGAGAAACCATCCATCACTCCCCAAAAGCATCTGTGCATAGCTGAATGCTAAAACACAACTCCTGCAACAGCAGCACATGGCAGCTATCTGCTTCATATCCTCGATGGCCAGCACTGCACTGAGCTCAGAGCTCTGCACGTGCCATGGGCTTGTGCCACCTCCTCTCCATGGCATCGGGAATGCTGCAGCATTGCACGGAAAGCACCTGCTAAGCTCCCTGTGCAGCACGGCTTACCCAGCTTGATGTCCCCATCCTGAGTGAGGAGCACGTTGCCTGCCTTCAGGTCACGGTGAATGATCTTCTTGCTATGCAGGTAATGGAGGGCTTCCAACATCTGCCGGCAAATCACTTGAATCTGGGGTTCGGTCAGGCCCCGGTCCAGCTCTAGAGGGAGAGAGATGGGATTCGAGCTGCAGCTCCGCCTGAGCAACGCCTGAAGCCAGCAAAGCATGGGTCACGTTCAAAACGCACTGCCCATGTGTCACGCGGCGGGACAGCAGTGCAAACCAGCCTGTGAAGGTAACTGATTCCCCAAGCCAGCAGTAGCAATACAAAGCGCTCACCTTTGGAGCTGGGAGTTTATAGCTGCCTCCTGGGGTGCCTGGGTGAGCCATGAGGCCCAGGAATAGCTGCTGCAAGAGACCCAGGGGCTCCTGCAAGAGGGTGTCTGAGCTTCAAACTGCCTGGGTATTTGGAAAACCAGTTTGGGAAACCAGAGTCCTTGCAGAGCAGCATGGGGCTCATCTGGTGTGGGGGTCGGGGGGCTGACGGTGCAGAGAGGGGGGAGCTGAATGCAGCTGCTGGGAGCACTCGGATCAAGTGCAGGCATGCACAGTTCCTAGCTCTGCATGCCAGCCGGGATCTGCTCCTCCAGGAGAGTTCCCCAGCTCTGGGAACGCAGCCTATCCCCACAGATGCGGCCAAGTCCTCGGCTTGCCAGAAGAGACAAACCATCTTCCAAAATGACAAGCAGTAAATGACTGGCCGTGTTACCCCCATCTGAGCTGATTCTTCACGCAGTATCAGGAACCAGCACATCCAGATCATGCCTGGTATCTATCCCTATTTCTAAAGTTTTCAGGGAGTATGCAGGAACTGAAGTTGCCTCCCCGCTAAGCTCTGCCAGGCCAGTGTGCTCTCCCTGACTGCTCCCCAAGGCAGTGCCTCTGCAAACCGTCAGGTCTCCAGATGGTTACCATCGTCCAAGCTTTCCTCCCGCTGTCCTTGCAGCACATGCCCTCCCCCCAGTTGAGTGCACGGTAGATTTCGCCTGAACCAGCAGAACGAGCCCTGTAGCCTACCCGAATGCATCTATTGTGCGAGTAAGATGGGGGCTGACTGACGGACTGCAGCAAGCAGGACAGATGCTCTTTCAGAGCAAGATCTTAATCATAGAATTAGAGATGCTGGATCAGCTATTCTGTTCCTCCTTCACTACCACTTCTTCCTCACGGAGCTCTCATTTGCACTGAATGCAAATGCTATTTCATTTACTCTCCCTGCAGACAGCAGAATGTGCTGCGTTCCCCTTGGCGAGAGGACGGCACCTGTATCTGTGTGGCCCCAGGGATGTGCAGAGGAGCAGTCCCCGCAGCCGGGGCAGCTGTTGGCCACTGGGCTGATGTTGGGAACACGCACATGCTCCCAGTTCCAGCATGCAAGGGAGGAGGTAAAAACGGGAAGATTCCTGGAATTACTTCAAATTGCAGTTTATTCGGGAGCTTGCACTCTTTTGCCAGATGACTACCATACGGCGAGAAGAACCTGAAAGATTTGTTATGATAGCCATCCAAATTAAATCTCAGTCTCTGTTCCCCTTCCCAGGAAGCTGTGGGAAGCAGATCCCAAGCACCTTCACTTCAGGCAGATAAATATTTAAAACTACTTTTCCCCTTCATTCAGACTCTCCCTTCTCCCCTCCCCCTTCCATGCCTCATGATCTACTGATCCCAGCAGCATTTACATCAGGAAAGGACATCAAAGTAGCTAAAGAAACACCCCAGCACTGCTGCACCTTGTGCTCCAGGTAACAAAATAGGCAAAACCTGGGAGAGAAATAAATAGCTGGAGAGACCAGGTCACACACACGTGCTAGCTTAAAGCTGCACCTGGCAATGCCTGGCAGGAAACCACCCCCCAAGCAAAAAGGAGCCTGTGGAGCAGGGAGGGATGGCCAGGCTGCTGCCACCACTGCCATGGCCAAACGACGGTACCGCACAGGCACTCACCCAGCATGGTGGCATCCACCGCACCTCCCGGGCAAAACTCGATCATGATCTAGGGAAACAAAGAGAGAGGAATTAGGAAGTCAGGTCCACGTGTCACTGCTGCTTTCCCGATCATGGGCTTGGCGCAATGGGACCCCTGCCTCCGCTGCTGCCCATGCAGAAACGTCCCCACGCCAGGTTCAAGCCAGGCCTCGCATGTCCTACCTGGAAACCCTGTCGGAGCCGCCAGGTTCAGCTCTGTCTCGTGTGTGTTTACAACTTTTTCAATTGCATTTGGCAGAGCGGGATGTTCCAGGGATGCAGG